CCATATCTCGAAAACTAGTTTCTTCATAAAAACACCAATTGTTGAAACTAATTTGTAGTCGTTGTGCCAACGCTTTTCTTAACCAAGCACCATGAATCAATCGGATTTCAAAACCAGATTCTTCATGAAAACATCAATTGTTGAAACTGATTACGGATCAAAAGCCTTGAGATTCCAATAGCCAAGAAAACCCAATCCTCCAAGAGAAACCCCTCTTCAAAGAATGACCAAAAGAAAGGCTAGGTTAAAAGTTCTTTTTATAGTGAGATTTGAGCGGCATTAGGGTTTCTTAATGCTAATGGGAATTAACGAAATTGCCCTTGCTTTAGAATCCAATATTGGAAGTTGCATGAATCATGGCTATTTATTAGGATAGATCATTACGTATCAATTTAGGATTCAAAAAGTCTATGCAAATCTTAAGACCCCTACGCAACAAACACATTCTCAAGTTTTTGTATCAATTTATACATAAATTTGTGCTTTGGATATTCTGAGTTTTGACCATTAATTTTTTTTATTTTTTGGATTTTAAACAAAAACGGTTAAAACACTAAGGGGTGTATTCAATTGGAATTTCGAGGGATTTTAATTCTTTTAATAAATCTAGGGGTATTCAATCAGGTTTTTAAGTAATTCTCTGAAATTCAAAGGGTATTCAATTAGAATTTTAAAATAGTTTATTAAAATCCTTATAAATATGATTTTAAACAAGTTTATAACATTCTAAGTGTATTCAATTAGAAATTGATTTTAAAGAATTTGAGAAAGTTGAAGAATTAAAGGGAATTAAAGATATTTCGTAGTGTATTTTAAGCATCCGCAAATCTCACTTCTCCTCATTAGATTTCGAGGGAATTGAATCAAAATTTTATATGAAATCTCTACAAATCAATTAAACTAAAAAAAAACCATGAATTTATAAATCCATTAAAGTTTATCAAATTCTCAATTGAATACATCCCCTAAATATCTCATACTTCTAACCATGAAAAATCTCCAATTTATATTTCATAATAAGGATGGACCTAAAAATACTTACTTTTTGGTCCAATGATTCTCGTATGGCTTATTATATTAATATCCTACAAATTGTTGACTAAACCCCATACACTTACTACACCTCACATTTTTTTTTTCAATTAAAAATTATTTTAATACACCTCACATACTTGCCTATAATACCGTCACACCCCACATTCTCAATATAAACCTTATATTTTCTACATACACCCCACATTTCTCAAATCTTATAACACTCATTTTTTATTTTCAGGGACTGAATCTAAACATTTGAACGTTTAGTTTGCTGAATGATTTCAAATTTGATGATTTGAAAAATATTTAGATTCATTTGAACGTTTTTCAATAATAATAATAATAACGATTTCAAAGTTACCATGTTGTTTCCATTTTCTTGTGCATATTTTGGTTGAACCAAGTCATCCGCAAGAAAGCATCTTAGTATAGTGCAAGAAAGCACCTTATGAATGCCATTGACTCACTCTGCAAACAGTTCGGAGGCCATGGCTTTTGAATTATGAGATTCATAAGTGCTAAGTCTTGAATTACGAGATTGAGCAGGACTTCGGGGGCCATAGCTTTTGCCCTCACTTTGCCACCAGTTCATGATCTTCGAGAAGGACATGGCCATATTGTAGTCACTGCCATGGTATAAAATATCGATGATATCGGAAATATCGGTAGTCGAAAAACACGGAAATATCGGTGGAAATATCGGGATATTATCGATATCGATAAAAATTGAATAAAAACCACGGAAATTGTAAGAAAAACTTGGAAATTTTTATTGAAACTTTGGAGAATGTTTATTTAGTCAATTATCTATTAGTTTATAAAAAAAAAATTAGAAGGAAATGCATTACATGATGGATTTAGCTGATTTAAATTGATTATACAGCGAGCTGGCAAACATGAGTGTAGAAAATATGTAGTAATTAATGAAAAAAAGATTAAACACACCATAATCATTTATATATAATGATTTACTACAATATTTTACACTTTATACATTGCATGGTAAGATACCTGAGTGATTTAGTACCAAATAAAGTTCCTTATGAGATTCAAAATTTTCACTATCTTCATCATCTCTATGTGTAGAGTAAGCTTATTGTGAAAAGTATTCATCAAATGATAAATCCCCAAAATAGTTTTGCATGTAATTGTTAACATGCCACTCATATAAATATAAATATTTTAGCATAGTATCACTAAAACATAAGTGATATATGGTGGTTACGGTGTTGGAGGAGTAAAACGGGAGGGGTTCAAATCCCCTTTGTGTTTTTTTTTCCTCCCTTTTTTCCCTTTTTTTTTTCCTTCCTTTACATTGATATTTTAGCGATATTACACCGATATTTTAACAAAATATTGCTGAAGTGTGAGCGAAATTATCGACATCGATATTTTCCAATATTATTGTTGATATTGTCGATATTTGTACGATATGTACATGGATATGTTCTGAAATATCCGTGATTTGAAAAAACTGAAATATCCTCGATATTTCGTCGATATTATCGATATTTCAAACTATGGTCACTGCAACCATTGCCTAGTTGAAAATCATCATTAAAAATGATCTGGGGTGAGAGAGATTTTGATAATTGAAGAAGATAAATAATACGTTAAAAGTAATTTGGGGTGCATTTAAATTTTTTTTTAAAACCTAAAAAGGTCAAAAGTGTCATTGTATGGTGGGGTAAATAAATTATTTAATATTAAATTTTAATGTGGGATGCATTCAATATTTTGTAGGGTGCTAATATAAAAAGCCTTCTCATATTTCAAGTAAATGTGAATAACCCATGCTTCAAATGATTCTCATATTCTAGATAAACACAAGATAAAGTTAGATGACTCTCATAATTTAGGTTAATACAAGTAAACTAAAAAAAAATGATTTTAATTCTCATTTTTTAGAGGTAAACACTTGTCAATTTTTTACACAACCCATTAAATTCAATACGACACGAAAATAACAGATTTAGGTAAACCCGTTAATAAGTCAAGTCTTTATCGGGTCACGTTAAGGACAATATAAGATTTGCCAGATTGAGACATTAGGCATGACAACTTTTGGCATAATCTGTTAACCCGACACGACTCGTTAACCAATCGGGTCATTACTGTTCACCTATTAAGATGAGTTCGACACGACACGACACGACATGTTAAGATATTGAGTATAACACGAAAACGATATGAACACGACAAATACGATCCGTTTGCCGGGTCTACATACCTCAAAACACGGTTAGTAAAAACCAAAACAAACCCACATGTAAGAAACCCAAGCGGGCCTGGGCTAACTTTCAGCCCAAACCCAACGAACCAAAACGAGCGCCAAGTAACAGTAGTAGAGCACGTTATCTAAGCCACTCTCATCTTTTTCTTCTTGAGCTCAATGCGAAATGAGTTCTGCTCACGCGATTCTCCGTCTCCAACGCCAACCACCTCCGCGGCGCCCCTTACGCTTCGCCTCTATTCCGTTTCCCTCGCATTCGCTCACCCAATCCAAGAAACTCAGGAAAAGCAGCTTTTCTCTGAAGTTGTACAATAACAGCCCCAAACGCCGCGTTTTTGGCAGAACTAGCGGCGTAATCAGAAGCTCGGTGGCCGAGGAAGCCAATGGCGCGGCGGAGCAGAAGCCGAAGCAGCAACCGGCGGTGAAGAGGCCCTACCCTTTCCACGAAATCGAGCTCAAATGGCAGCGTTATTGGGAGGAAAATATGACTTTTCGAACCCCCGATGAAATTGACAAGAAAGTTTGACGTCTCATGTAAGTTACCTCCGTGGACTCATTCTCAACACGCTTCTTTACGTGTGACGAATTTTTAAGCGATTGGCAATATGTGAAGAAGCTCAACTCATGCAAGGTCCTTCCGTGGACTCATTCTCAACATGCTTACGTTTCAAATTTTCACGCCTAACATGTGGATAACACAACGGTAACGTGAAGCACGTATAGCCGCTTGGCTTCACACGTAAGACAACCTCCAAGCTCAACTTTCTTTATGGTATCAGAGCAGGTTGTCTCATGTGTAAAACCAAGCAGTCACACATGCTCCACGTTCCCTGTTACCTGTTGTGTTATCCACTTGTTAGGCTCGAATATTCGCCACACGTAAATGACGTGTTGAGAATAAGTCCCGCATTGATGAGAGGAGGAATGGATGCTCAAGATAACTGCATATGCTGATCATCTTCTAGAAGATTTAGATGACCTCGACTGGCCTGAAGGCATAAAAGAAATGCAAAGAAACTGGATAGGGAGGTCTGAAGGTGCCGAGATGGAATTTCATATTATTAGCAGTGATGGACAAGAAAGAGACACAAAGATTACAATCTATACTACTAGGCCTGACACCATATTTGGAGCAACGTAATAATCATACACCAAATTCCTATCTTGATAATTTATATAGTAGATGGACCTGTACAGAAAACCTTTGACATAGACGTGTCTAATCTACATTTATCTTTTGGCTCCAGCTATTTAGTCGTGGCACCAGAGCATCCCTTGTTGTCAGTGTTAGTTAGTATCAACAACCCAGAGAGAAACCGTACGTTCAATTGTTTCTTGCCCAGTTTTCTCAAAGGTTTCTTATGATGGGTAATTAGAGGGCCAACAATATTGAGCACAGGTGGAGGAGTATATAGATATTGCCTCAAGAAAGAGTGACTTGAGAACACTGACCTTCAGAAGGAGAAAACCGTGGTCTTCACAGTTAATGGGGAAGCTATCCCTATATGGGTTGACGACTATGTCTTGGGGAGGTGTGTTTGGCTTTATGTTCATTTCCTTCATTTATATTTGCCACTAGAAATTTGCGTCTTGCTGGAGTTTTGGCGTCTATCTTTGTATGATGTGCAAAATGGGAATCGTATCTGTTGATTGTTTCTCCTCTTACGCAAATACGTTTCACCAAGTTGCTATATAACTTCAACACGGGACTTTGTTACTTTGTAGTTATGGAACAGGGGCAATTATGGCTGTTCTTGCACATGACACTCGTGATTTTGAGTTTGCATCAACATTTGACATGCCAATTTGTTGGGTTGTGGATGATAAAAATATCAGTGGTTTCAAAAAGGCCTATTCAGGTGAAGGTACTGTTATAAATTCTTCAAATCCAACACTATGGCTGGACATTAATGGCTTATCTAGCAAAGTAGCTGCTTCCGAAGTCATTGACTGGGCTGAGAAAACTGCAAATGGGAAGAAAAAGGTGAGTTTTCAGAGCACGGAAGCTTATACAATTAGACATTTGGAGTACGCCGGCCTACTTGCTCTATGCATAATGCATACGATAAATGATCTGTTCTTTTCCCTCAAACTTGTCTTTCTTCAGGTGAACTTTAAGTTAAGGGATTGGCTTTTTGCTCGGCAACGTTATTGGGGTGAACCTATTCCAGTAGTTTTTTTGGATGATACTGGTGAGACTGTTCCCATACTTGAAACTGAACTGCCCCTTACCCTACCAGAACTGGATGATTTTTCTCCCACTGGGACAGGAGAACCACCACTCTCAAAAGCAGTTTCTTGGGTACAGTTTCCCTCTTTTGTTCTTTCTTTGTTTTTTTTCCCAACTCCTTAGTCCGTTTATGGATGAGTTCGTGTGGTTTAACATTTGTAATTTTGTTAGTCTTTACTCAACTGCAAAACTTTTTCTTGCCAGTATTCCAGATGATTTTGTTAGTGTCAATAGTTATATGTGTACCAACTTATTCTCAGGCCAAAACTAAGGACCATTTATCTGGAAAACCTGCTAGACGGGAGACAAGTACCACGCCACAGTGGGCCGGTTCTTGCTGGTAATCTGTTAATTAACTTCAAGAGTTGAGTTGTGTTACTTAATGCAGATAGAAATGTTGAAATTCATTTTTGAGGTTTGAGATGTTATACCTTTTTTACCATGTTCAGGTACTATTTGAGATTTATGGACCCAAAAAATTCAGAAGAATTGGTGGCAAAGACAAAAGAAATGTAAGTGAAATCTTTCTCTGGGAATTCTTCATATAAAATTCTACTTCTTTGCAAATAAAAAACTCAAAAGGTAATGATTAAATTTGTAGTATCATGTGAGTTCCTCCTTTTTCTTTTTGTCATTTTAATAATCCTCTTGATCTGCAGGTACTGGAACCAAGTTGATGTGTATGTTGCTGGTGCAGTACATGCTGTCCTTCATTTACTTTATTCAAGGTTCTGGCACAAGGTCTGTGACTTAATCTGTTTTCTTCAACATAGTAAGATTGACCAATATGAAATTGTATCTCTTTGTACAAAAGTTGTATCAGTAATTACAGCTGACATGGTCATTAATCCTTACTACTGTTTTTCAAGTCTTGTCTCGTATGAAATGCTAACGTTGTCACATCCCGGCCCGGGACGGACCACTTCTCGGGCCTGCTCCACCACCGTAGCACGATATTGTCCGCTTTGGACTTCGATCACGCCCTCGCGGTTTTGTTTATGGGAACTCACGAGCAACTTCCCAGTGGGTCACCCCTCATGGGAGTGCTCTCGCGCGCTAGTCGCTTAACTTCGGAGTTCCGATGGAACCCGCCAGTGAATTCCAAAAAACCTCGTGCTAGGTAGGGATGAGAATATACATTTAAGGATCACTCCCCTGGACGATGTGAGATGTAGGCTTTTTGGGATGAGAATATACATTTAAGAATCACTCTCTTGGACGATGTGGGATGTTACAATCCACCCCTTAAAGGGCCCGACGACCTCGTCGGCACACCACGGCTAGGGCTAGGCTCTTGACATAATTTTTCCTTCTGTAGGTCATGAAGTCTGGGGATTCTTTTGTACTGAAAGACGATCCTAACATTTATCTGATTGCGCGTTCTCATAAAATGAGTAAAAGCAGGGGAATGTAGTCAGTCCGGATGACGTTGTTTCTGAGTACGGGGCTCGCTTCGTTTATATGAAATGTTCATGGGACGACTGAGGCAGTTTTTTCGTTGAACTTTATCTTATTGGATACTTGGTTTGGCCTATGTTTTCGCTAATGTGCCTAGGAATGTCTATTGCCTATCTCAAGTATCTCGAGACTAAAAAACCTGAAATACGAGTGGTATTGAAGGTGTCCATCGATTTTTGGGAAGAACATGGAGGCTAGTTGTTGGTTCACCGTTGTCTGATTTTTTTTTTGGTCAATCACCGTTGTCTGATGGTACATTCAAAGATGGGACAGTAGTGACTGATGAGGATCCTACTTTGGAGCAACTTCGTCCTCTCCATAAGTGCATTGCATAGGTCAGATCTCAATTTCTGGATGTTATCTTCTATCTCCTTTTACTATTATACTCAAATTACGATACAACAGCTGTCCAAAAATCTGAAGTCTGCACCTTTTAACCAATGAATTTTCCTAATTGCAGGTAACCGAGGAAATACAAGCAACAAGATTCAACACTGGAATATCTGCCATGATGGAGTTCCTTAATGCGGCTTATAAGTATTAACTACATTGTAAAAGATGAAGTTGGTACAGAGGAAGAGGAAGACAATAGAGAGAAACAAGAGAGATTGTATTGATTGATCAGAGAAAATGTATACGACTGAACTTAAGGAAATGATAGCTATACAATCTCTTATATAACCATATAACCTAATTACAATAATACCATTCTAACTATATTGATGTTATATCAGTTATTACTCCCTCCTCAAACTAAACTTGGAGTATCCAAGTGAAGTTTGAAATAGTCCGGTATTTGAGACTGATCTGGAACTGCGAGAGCAAGATGTCTGCCATGCTTCAAGAATTAACCTGCTGCAAACAAGAAAACACCCACTGACACCCTTGTGACTGCTGACCAAAACCTCTGCTCACTCCATTACCATCACACAAGACTCAACTTTAGCCGTTGGTGAAGCCATGATGAAAGCCACAAGTACAATCCAAAAATCAAATCAGATGAATTCTTCTAGGCAACAAGAGAATGATACTCTTGACACAAATTCTAAGGATGACACTCTTGACAAATTCTATGGAATCAAAGAAAGAATGATACTTTCTTAATCATCAAGAAAGAATGACACTTTCTTGAAATCTTATAATCTAACAAATCACTAAATGAAACAGTAGTTTATCTCATTGGATTTATCTCAGCAGTCACACCAAGAATGTAACACCAAACCACCTGATGCTTTCACAGAACCACAACAAGAATATTGTAACACCAAACCACCTGATACTTTCACAGAGAGATCCATACCAAGAGCTGCATACATTCATATATACTTCCTGATTGCAAGGATGACGACGAATATGGATGCCAAGAAGCCCAATATAAATGAAAATGGTGCTGCAATTCAGTGAAGCAGAGAGACAAGAATCAAAACCCATCTTCAAAACTATCAAAACCCATCTTTAAGATCGCACATTTCATTCACAATTCACTACAATTCACCTTGTTGAATACCCAAAGAAAACTCCAACCGGTAGCGCCATTTTACATAATCCAACAATATTCTTGAAATTGGGAGCACAACAGAAACACAAAAAGAATACCCAAATCTTGAACAAATATACTTCCACAAGCAACACAAGCCACAACCAAGTAGCAGAAGAGTAAGTCTTAACCAGCACCAAAAAACTTGAAAAACCCAGAAAAGATCCATTCTAATTGTTCAAAAATTAAGAGAAAAGGGACTGAAAACATAACCTTCAAATGAAACGTTTGAGTTGGAACTTTCTTCAAACACCTGGACTGCATTAAGCATTGATGCCAAGGCCATTCCGCAAAAGATCAGCCATATGATGCATGGACACGGACACGGACACGCGGATACGATACGACACGACACGGGGATACGTCAAATTTCTAAAAACGAAGACACGATACGGCAAGGATATGACAATTAAAAATAATATAAATAAATAAATATATCTAAATATTATAAAATAAGAATTCAAATATACTATTCAAGTTCAAATTTATTTTGATAAACTTCAAATATTTAAAAAGATAATTCACTAAACAACTAAATTAGTCTTCATTAGTAACCTTGTTGCAAGAGACGATCCCATTTCCAGACATTTTTAACAAATGAAACTTGACCCTAGAGTAGGATCCTCTAAAAATCTTTTGACAATAGTTGCATTGAAACACAATACCTCATTTTCCATTTTCTACTCTTTCGAGCTTTTTGACATATTTCCATATTGTACCATGATCATTTTCAACATTCTCAACTAGGTTAAATTAGCATTCGCATAATTATCAGGATGATTCATTTTCCTAAATTATCAACATGTAAATCATAAGAATCAATCAATCCAAAGTAATCGCATAAAATCTCACAAGTCAAATTTATGCTAAGAGATCAACAAAACAACATAAAAGCATATATTAATATATTATAATCTAAATTATTCTAGATCACTAACAATAATATTATTATAATATGCAAACAGAAAAGCAAAAGGAGCTTTTCGTTTGGCTTCAGAAAAGCAAAAAGGGGATCTAATAAGTAAAGTTGAGGCATCAGAGCAGAAAACCATCAACATTATGAACAAGAAGAAAAAGAAGGCTTCAGGAAAGCATAGAATTCGAAACCCAGTTACCAGTTCTCACCAGCAGATGCATAGGATACAATGCAACACTTGCAAACGGAGACGACAGAAGCAATTGCCAATGACGGTTCTAAGGTTTGAGTGAGGAAAAACAGGTAGATCCGAATTTTATACACAAAATCGTTTCGATTTTTGGTTAAAGAATCGTTTCGGTCCAGCTAATCTCAATCAACTGTCAATTAACACGATTCTGTGCGGATTAAGTGTAATTATCTTGATTTTTTTGTGTGATTATCCTCTGATTATAGTTCGAAAAGTAGGATACTCGTATCCCAACAGTAAGATACGAGTATCCCATCAGTCAACAATGTATCTGTTGACTTAGATACGTATCGGTCGCATATCCGTTCGTATTCCCACACGTATCCGTATCCCCGCGTGTCAGATACGGGATACGTTGGTCTTCCCGCGTGTTCATGCATCATATCGTTCTTCGTCGTCTTTATATCCGATTTGTATCTGGTGACGAATTTCCGAACACCTTCAACATCTTGTTCTTTGAGGATTCAGCCCACACTAAGAATTAGATTCAAGAAAACCCGGAAGGAAAGAACATGGATACTTCTGGCATTCGAAGCAAGAAATAGAGAAAGAACAATCTGGGTTTTTCTTCAAATGGCAGAGGCAACGCGGCCGAAGTACTTGACTACATTGAGATAAAGTATTCGTTGGTGGTGGTCTGCCAAACTCCAAAAGCATCAACTTTTGAATCCCAGAGAAACCCACTTCGCCTTCACCCTTCTTATCATCCAGAGTCTTTGCAGTCTTAGTTGTCACAAATTCACCATCAGAAACATGACCCACCTCACAATTTCCCATGAAATCTTGGGCAACTCCATTGTTGAATAAGTGGCCAAGTGGCCAAGTGGCTATTAAACAAATCAAAAGGAAAAAAGACAACATAATTATGTCCCTTCCATGTTTTGGGAGGAAAACATGGCACCTTGTCTAAAGTGAATTGTTTTGGCCATAACACCCGTGGGTTTTGGTTTTTAATATGGGGTTGTTGCCTTAGGAGAAATTAGAGAGAGAAGAGAAGAGTGCATCAGAAAACAGAGAAGAAAAAATAGAAGTGGAGCAGCCCCTCTTAGAAGAGAAGAAGAAAGTGCTCCTCTTTTTGGTTAGTAATCATCCACTAAGGTAGTTGTTGTTGTAATAGGTTTGAGCTATATGTATAGAGAAGAAATTATTCATTATATTTCTTTCTCTATTTGTTTCTGTGGTGTGTGAGAGCTATTGGGTGTATTGGGTTATTTGGGTTGTGAGATTGCTAACACTTTGTAAACTCCCATTTGGTTGATAGTGGATTATTGGGTGAGCTCCTACTGCTCCGAGGATGTACTCCAGTTACACTGACTGTTGAGGAACCTCGTTAAAATATTGGTGTCTTTTATATTTTGTTCTTGCATTTTCATTTGATAAATTTCCTGTGGGTTAGCTTGAGTTGGTTCC